AAGGACAGCCGCCCAGAATAGTCCCCCACAGCCCTCAGAAGGACCCAACCCTGCTGACACTTTGATTTCAGATTTCTAACTTCCAGAACTATAAGAAAAAAATTCTGTTGGCTAAGCCACCCAGTTTGAGGCACTTTGTTGTGGTAGCCCACTAGAAGATAAATACATATTCTCAGATTGAAATACAACTCTGTGTGACTATAAAATATGTACTCTTTTTACTGTACCATGGTAAGGGATAGGACCAAAAAACCCAAGTCCTAGTTGTTGTTGTTACTGAGGAGAAAAATGCAGAGGAAAGAGAAGTTTCAAGAAAATGCAGTAATTATACATCTATGATTGACCTAAAGAAGGCTCCCCTTACTACTGCTTCTACTCTACTTCTGCTTCTATTTCCAGTAGGATGACTACTAATTTACATTCATTGAGTAATGATTACACACCACACCACTATGTGAAGTATTTTACAACTACTAACCCTAGTTACTTGCAACAACCCTGTAAATAATCTGTAAATAATATTAAGTGCAATAACTCTGTGGAGTTTTCTCTTCATTTTACTGGTGAGGAAATTGAAGCTCAGAAGTCATCTGCCAAAATTAATGACGGAATCTAATTTCTGGTTTAGTGTCCATCAATCTCTAACTTAAGAATCTTAACCATTACTGTATTAGAGTTTTGTTTCAACACAAGGCATGGTGTTCACATTTGCCTGGTTTCCAGTCCAACTATCAGCTTTGAGAGAGTTGAATGGTTTTGATGGTATTTGATGATCTGCTATCGGGTGCTATAACATACCTCCCTTGTGGTAAATTCTGCCATCTTGAAACAAAATGGCAGCTAATACAGGTTTTCCAATGATCATTGTTCTTGCAATTTTTGTAAGAACTTAAGCTTTGGGTAAGGATTCAGGTCGTATGATTTTATTGATTGACGTCTTCAATTCACAGAGCCAGTAATTAAATAGAGAGGGGAAAAGGCAAAAGAAAAAGAAAATTCGTCTAGCTAACAGAACCAGTTGATTGAAATGTAGAATTTAAATTCATGGTCCCTGCTTAGACTATCCAGCATTCACATTTTAAAGAATTTGTTTTTGGAAACCTTTATAAAACTCTCCACTGTTACAATGTAATGCCATCTGGGATTTAGCATTTATAAAATGTGCAGTTAAGAGATGCCAAGAGATTCCTCATGCAAACCAGATGGTACAATAACAGCTCTGTCTGTTTTTCTGGCAGAGAAACGGGGCTTTGAATGGCTTGAAACTTATGTGAATAAATTAAGCCCAATCAATACTTCAGGGACATTACAATTTCAATAGTCGACTTACCCACCAAATATTTTCATAAATGTTTTCATTTGGAGAAGAAAAAAACCAAAAGGGCAGACAATGGTTCCTTTGATCGCCTCATATTTGTATTTGACAATGTTTCTAAGAAAAATACCACCAATGACCTTCAACGTGGGAAAGAAAGTTTCTCCGTATTTTAAGAGTGATGTATGTGTTTAAATGAGAAGCAGGGTTGTTCAATCTCTTTTGAATAGGAAAAATCCACATCAAATATGTTGAAGAGTTTTATTGCTGTGCTGAAGAGGAAAAAATACATGTGTAAGTGACATTTTCTGGATAATGGACTTGAAAATGTCTTTACCTCAACAGGTAGGTTTCTCACAAACCCAAGTTCAGCACATAAAGTCGTGTATTAATGATTCCTCTTATGCCCTTGCTTAATTCCTTTAAGTTTTCTGTGTAACAACAGGACTTTTGTAATCCCTTTTAATTTTTTTCACTTTCTGTTATTGCTTTTATTTTCATTAAAATTCATAATAAGATGCTCATTAGCTGAAGTAATCTTGTTAAAAGCAAACGTTTTGCTTAGATCTTTTCTTTTTCCTTATTAGGTGAAAATGTGCTTCCCCACCATACAAGTGAATTTCCTCTGTAATTAGGCATGAATAGCTTTGGAGAACAAATACAGGCTGCTTTTGTGAAAACCAGATCTCTTGAGGTTTAGGGGGCAATCTCATTAATAAAAATATGTGTTTCTGGATTGCACAAGCCATTGAATTTCTTTCCCAATTAGCAGTGAATGGTTTTTCAGAACAAAGGAGAAGTTTGGTTTCCACTTTGCTGGCATTGGTTTTCCTTGGGGTAGACTGGAGGTACCAACTACCACTAATATTTGTTCCTTCCATCTCTCTCCCTGGGCAAAGAAACACACAGGACTTTGTTTTATAGATAAGTCAGAATCCTAGGTAAATTCTCCATTCAAGGGCTACTTCCTCTTAGCCAGGATTGGACTCCAGGGTAGATAGGACAATTGTTTATAACACTCAGCTCTCAGGTAGCTGGGCGGTGGCAGGAGAGGCTGTAAAATTATAAACACAACAATGAAGAGTGGACAATGCCTTTGCTTTGCATGGAGGAGGAGATCCATTAGTGAGAGACTCTCCAAGTGCTTTCCCTCGGGGCCCAATTATCCCTGTTTTCTGTGGGTCATTGGCAAAATGAAGTGTTTGGGTCAACAGGCCTCTCAAAAGTGAAATAGTTAAATGCTCGAAATGTCAGGTATTAAGTGAGTTTTTAAGAAAACAAAGGAGGAAAGAAAGCCTACTCCCTTTGAACCTAAGTGGCAGCCAGAGGGACATAGAAGTCACTAGCTGGATGTTTCTCTAAAGTTATACTAATATGGCAGGAGTATAGGCAGGTGGGGGAAGGGCAGGGTTGGTTACAAGAGAAAGTTGTTGAGGGCCTTGACTTGCTCGGTAATAGAACAATTGAGGAGAAGGTCATGGACATTTAAGTCTGACCCTTAAGTCTCTCCACCAGTGTGTAGGGCAGATATTCTTCTCTGACCTTCAAAGAGCCCAGCAGCATCCTGTCGGAACAGACTCACCTTCTTTCCACAAGGCCAATTACTATCAAAACATAAAGTCACAAGCCACAGTTGCCCCACAATTCTCCAGACCCCTCATGAGCAGTTAGTGTCTAAATTATATGCAAATCTGTCCTATTTTCATTAGTCTCTGCCCTCACCATCTTCTACCAATTTTGTTTCCTTTGTACTTTGAGAAGTGCAGTAGAAAATAAGAAAAATTACTAAGTTTTACTTCTCTCTCTCTCTCTGCTCCCTTAGCCACAATCACATGGCTTCTTTACATTTGTAAAACCATATTTTACAGTTTGTAAGGAATTTTAGCTCATTTCACCTTTACTATTATAAGCTTAGATGATGATATGATCATGAACAATATTCCCCGATTTTATCCACAAAGAAATGGAGATTCAAGTAGATGCTGTAAGTTCTTCTAGATCAAATGGACTTCAGGTCTTCTCGGTCCAACCCTCTTTTGTCAACCTCATCTTGAGGGAATGGGTTAAGGAGGATCTTCAAGTTTGGGATTTATTTCTGCTTTACCTCCCCTTCCCAACCCATTCTTTTTCTTTTTTTTTTTTATTATGTTATGTTAATCACCATACATTACACTATTAGTTTTTGATGTAGTGTTCCGTGGTTCATTGTGTATAACACCCAGTGCTCCATGCAGAACGTGCCCTCTTTAATACCCATCACCAGGCTAACCCATCCTCCCACCCTTCTCCCCTCTAGAACCCTCAGTTTGTTTCTCAGAGTCCGTAGTCTCTCATGGTTCGTCTCCCCCTCCAATTTCCCCCCCTTCATTCTTCCCCTCCTGCCAACCCATTCTTTTGAAGAAGAAGTTTTTCCAAGGAAATGCCAAAGGGTGCCAGGAGATTTACCATTAAAAAAAAAAAAAACAGCTCAGATGTCTTACCATTTCACAGAAGAGTTTAAGTCCAAGTCATAAGTACTACTGGAGTTGAGGAACTCTTCCTTCTCCTCCATTTTCAACCCTTCTTCTTCTTGTCTATAATTGCTCTGTCCTCCTTTATCGTTGCTTCCATTCTCATCCTGATTCTCCTTCTCCCCATCATTGTTATCACATTATCACTATCATCATCTTCATCTGGTAATGGACTCCTTGTTTTTTTGTTTTTTGTTTTTAAAGATTTTATTTATTTATTTGAGAGAGAGATAGAGAGCACAAGTAGGCAGAGAGGCAGGCAGAGGGAGAGGGAGAAGCAGACTCTCCACTGAGCAGGGAGCCCGACGTGGGCCTCGATCCCAGGACCCTGGGATCATGACCTGAGCCGAAAGCAGCCGCTTAACCGACTGAGCCACCCAGGTGCCACATGGACTCCTTGTTTAATGGCACTTAGCATTCTACTACAAATAATCCATCTTTGAGAAGCCCTCTCTGAGGTTACATATGATTTTCTATTTTAGAGTGCATTAATGAATGCAATTATGTTTAAAGTGGCTCATGCAAAAATTAGTTGAGGAACATTACCTTGTTTTCAAAGTATCCACAATCATGTTTGAATATTTCACTCTCTCTGGGCTAAAAAAAATTATTTCCCCCCTTTACAAATAAATAATGCTGCTGCCCTCCAGGTTGCTTATACAGCTTCTAGTGGTGTTCTCATAGAAACCACAAAAAGGAACAAACGTTGACCCTTGGAGCTCATTATTGTGAGGGGCTTGCAGATGAAAGCGTTGTACTTTCTCAAAGTGAACAGATACTTTATCTTGGAATAAAGGCTTAGACAAAAAGAGATAAGAAGAATAAACGTTACAGACTTTGAAAATAGGTCTTCCTCACTTCAATTACATGGACTATTACCCAAACATATTAAAGATTTTTGTGGGGTGCCTGGGTGGCTCAGTTGGGTAAGCATCTGCCTTCAGCTCAGGTCATGATCCCAGTATCCTGGGATTGAGCTCTCATCAGGCTCCCTGCTCGGCGGGGAGCCTGCTTCTCCCTCTCCCTCTGCTGCTCCCCCTGCTTGTTCTCTCTCTCTGTCAAATAAATAAATAAATAAATAAATAAATAAATAAATAAATAAATAAAATATATATTTTTTAAGATTTTATTTATTTATTTGACAGAGAGAGACACAGCAAGACAGGGAACACAAGCAGGGAGGAGAGGGAGAGGGAGAAGCAGGCTTCCCTTGGAGCAGGAAGCCTGATGCAGGGCCCGATCCCAGGACCCTGGGATCATGACCTGAGCCGAAGGCAGACGCTTAACGACTGAGCCACCCAGGCGTCCCAAATAAATAAAATCTTTTTTAAGAAAGATTTTGTAACAATATGGGAAATAACTTATGGTGGATTAAAGAGAGGAAAAGACAATGCAAAATGGTATGTATTTGATGGTAAAAACTATGTAAAATATATACCACAAGAGAATATATTAATAGTTCATCAGCTATGTAGGTTGATGGGTTCTAATTTTATTGTTGTGTCTTCAGAGGACAGGGTCTACATGAAACCTATCATCTGATGTTTATTGAGGCCTGCCCTTGTTCTATTAGGTGGGCAGTTTTTATAAATATTTTCTGTGTGCTTGAAAAGAACATGTATTTTCTATTGAGTATAGAGTTCTGCATAGGATTGTTAAATCAAGCTTTTTCATTGTGTTCAGATCTTTTGTATTTTTACTGATCTTTAGTCTGATTGATATATAACATTTAGAGAGTGTATTAAAACCTCCTACTGTGATTGTGGATTTGTTCTTTCTCTTCCAATTCTATTAATTTTTGTTTTTTCTATCGGGGGCTATGTTGTTATGTACGTACAAGTTTAGGACTATCATATTTTCTTGATGAATTGTTCCTTTTATCATTACGTATTATCTATCTTTATCCCTAGCAATTTTTTTGGCTTAAACTATATTTTGTCTGATGTAAATATAGCCATACCACTTTTGTCAGTATTTTCCTTTTTTTAAAGATTATATTTATTTATTGAGAAAGAGAGAGACAGTGCACATGCATGCATGTGGGGGGTAGGGGCAGAGGGAGAGGGAGAGAGAGAATTTTAAGCGGACTCCATGACAGGTGTGGAACCCGAAGCAGGGCTCGATCTCACCATCCTGAAATCATGACCTGAGAGGAGATCAAGAGTTGGACGCTTAACCAGCTGAACTACCCAGGTGCCCCTGTCAGCATTTTCTTGATAAAACTTTTCCATTTTTTGCTTTTAGTTTTTCTGCGATTTTATATTTTAGCTGTGTCTACTGTAAATAAGATATGGCTGGGTCTTCTGACTGATGACTTTGATCCATTTACATTTATTTTTATTCCAGATAGATTTGGACCATGTTTTTGATCTAATATTGTGCTCTTTATTTACACTAATTTTTCTATTGTTTCCTCCTTTCCTTAGGGTGGAAGCTTAAATTATTGATTTATTTCTCCTTTTCTGAATCAGGTATAAAAACTGCTCATTTCTTCCCCAAGCTCTGTTTTAACTGTATCCTATAAATTTTGAGATGTTGTGTTCTCATTTTCATTCAGTTGAAAATAAATCTGATAAAGGATTTTTGTCCAAAATCTATAAAGAACTCTTTTAACTCATTAATAAGGTAATATCCCAAAGAGAAAAATGGGCAAAGAATTTAAATATAAGATGTAAGAATGGCTAGTAAGCACATAAAGATGTGCTCAACATCATTATTCATTAGGAAATGCAAATTAAAACCAGAATGATACCACTTCACACCCACTAAGGATAGCCATAAACAGAAAGACAATAGAAGCTGCAAGGATATGGAGGAATTCTCACCATCCATTGCTGGTGGGAATGTAAAACAGTATGGTCACTTTGAAAAACCCGTTTGGCAATTTCTGAAAAAGTTAAATATAAATTACCATATAACCCAGCCATTCCACTCTTTGGTATAAACATGAGACATAAAATGAGACATAAAAATATATGTCTACACAGACTTGTGTGTGAATGATCGTAGCAGCATTATTCATAAAACCAAAAAGAGGAAGCAATCTAAATGTCCATCAGCTACTGGATGAATAATGAAAATTTGGTATATTGGTATAATAGAATATTATTCAGCAATAAAAAGGAAGTATTTTTACATACTAAAAAATGAATGAACCTCAAAAAATTATGTGAAGCTAAAAAAACCCCCTAGACACAAAGACTATATATTTTATGATTCCACTTTTATGAAATGCCCATATAAAGCAAATCTATAGAGATAGGACACAGATTAATGCTTTCTTGGGGTTGGGAATGGGAATGGGGATCGACTACAAATGAGCATGAGGGATATTTTGAGAGTGATAGATATGTTCTAAAATTGGACTATGATGATACTTGCGCCACTCTGTAAATTTGCTAACAGTCATTGAATTAAACACTTAAAATGGGTGAATTTCATAGTATATAAATTATACCTCAATAAAACAGTTTTAAACAATAGACCTCCCCTGTGAACTAGACTAGTTCTGAATTGTCTGGAAATTATTTTGTACATTCTGTGCCTAGATGACCAGTATTACATTGCTAACAGATATAAAGAAATTAAATGTGCCTTACAACACTCAAGATGAACACAGCAGTCCTTAATACTCAATGTCATGGCCATGCCAGAAAGGAAAGGTCCAAGTTCAGTGCCATGAACCTTTCTGGCTGACTTCCATGGAGGGAGGCTGGAATGAGCTTTGTCCTGGGGTGACACTCTTCCTTGTCACTGATTAACCAGCTTTGTAGGAAGGCTGCTGCACTGACAACCTGCTCTGCCTGGAGAGTGATACCTGGCCAGACTTTGGCGAGCAGAAAAAATGTCTACTCGCTACCACCAAGCTGCTAGTGATAGCTACCTGGAACTTTTGAAAGAGGCTACCAAGAGAGATCTGAATCTTGCTGATGAAGATGGCATGACTCCCACACTCCTGGCAGCCTACCATGGGAATCTGGAAGCCCTAGAAATCATCTGCAGCCGAGGGTAAGTTCAATCTGCTAATTTTGATTGGAGACGGTGCTTCTGGTAGGATTTTGCGGACAGCAGCAAGAGACAGGGAAGTCAGTGAAAACTCTGTCCTTTATAGACTGTCTAAATAATTGTCTTTTTAGAGAAAGAGAGAAAACTGCCTAGAGGTGCTCTTTTCACACTAAGAACTGGCACCATGGGGATGGCTCATCCCTTATGAGCCACACATAGAAAGATTCTGAACTTTAAGGTTTTGTTATCTGCCTTGGGGGTGGGGGATATATTTTAATTCTGTGCTTTTAAAAATCTTTTCCATAAAGTGTAAATGGTTGACTCTTTAAAAATGAATCACTATTCTACTTGACTTTAAGATGTCAATCTTGATTGGAACAAATGATGTGTTTTTATTTTATTTTATTTTTTGTCTGTGCCATTATAATCCCACAGCCTTTTATTAATATTCAATCCTAATGCAAGCCCATGATTCTTAGATGCAGTAGTTGACTTTACAAGCTATAAAAGGGAACCTCAACTATTCTGAAACCTGCTTCTAATTATTTAACAATAGATTATGGACGGTTTGCACTTTTTTTTTTTCATTTGTAACTTTAAAGGAGAAATCTGTGCCACTGTTTTTTAATGACTACATGGTATTCTGTTTTATGGTTTCATCATAATTTAATCAGTTGCTTGTTTATGACATTTAAATTTGAATCCTGTCTTTTAACTTGTAAATAAGTTGAAATGAACATCCTTGCTTATTCATCTTTGTACAAAGGTCTAATATTTCCTTAGGATAAATTCTTAAAGGCAGAATTGTTGACTCAAGAGGGTGCTATGTTTTAGCAGCTTCTGGCACACATTGTGCCAGGAAATTTGCACCACTTTACGATTCCTCCATCATTGTTCATTTTCCCATACTCTTGTCAAAACTGAGTATTACTATTCTTTTTAATCCTTGCCTAGCTGATGGGCAAGAAAATCGTAGTGCATTGTTTTCATTTACATTTCTTTGATTACTAGTAAGTCCAAATATTCTTTATGTAGAAAAACATTTTTTTTTTTTTAAGATTTTATTTATTTATTTGACAGAGAGAGAGAGCACATGCGAGAGGGAACACAAGCAGGGGGAATGGGAGAGGGAGAAGCAGGCTTCCCGCGGAGCAGGGAGCCCGATGCGGGGCTCGATCCCAGGACTCTGGGATCATGACCTGAGCCGAAGGCAGACGCTTAATGACTGAGCCACCCAGGCGCCCTAGAAAAACATTTTTGAAAGACTGATTTTTTTTTCCTGAGAACAGCTTCACCAAAAAAAAAAAAAAAAAAAAAAAAAATCAGATTAACTCCAAAAGAAAAAATTGAAATGGACCCAATGCTCAGAGTAAGTTAATATAAGCAAATTGCCTATTTAGTGACAATACCAATCCAGCTTTAAAAATCATTGCTCAAATGCACTGACCTACCAAAAAGCAAGGGCAAAATATGGATTATTTAAAAATCTCTTCAGTGAGTTTCACCTTTGGGGGAAAAAAAATGGAAAAGAAATCAATGCTAGACTGAATTTAGCCCAGGCAAACCATACAGCATCAATATAGGACTCAGATCATCAAACGAGGGGGGACCAGTTCATGAATACCTGGGCAGGTATGTGTAATGGTTCTATCAAGAAGTATGAAAGACACCAAGGATTGAAAGACAAAGATTGAATTTAGAAGGACCACATGAAACTTTTCAGAAAATATTTTGATTTAAGTTATACACGACCTTGGAAAGTTGCCTTTAAGTACAATTTTTGCAAGTGGAAATAGCTTAAAAGTATGAGGGAAACTCTTGAATCATCTTACCAACAGTTTCATCTATAAATTTGGAATTTTGCATTTGAAATTTTCTTAAAATGAGACCCATTTTTGGGGTCATCTCAAGGTTTTCTTCACGTTCTTCCTCCCATCTTGAAAGGATCATGTAAGTTCTCTTGAGAAAGGAAAATTCCACTACTTTATATGTCCCAAAGCATGTAGATTTAACCTAAAGTTCTTAATACCCTTAACATCCCCACCATAGCTCACTCTCAGTAATTTCTTTTTTAAGTTACCCAATCCAACAATAATTTCAGGCAAATTTAACCAGTATGTTTTTGTTTAGGTTTATACTACCATCTTGGATGTTTTTACAATCCTTCTTTGATGTCTAGAGTACTTAAGGAGTCTTTTGAATATGGTGCTTGGTTAAAATAAATAAAAAGTAAAACTACATCTTTGGGGGTGAGGCACTATGCCCCCTAAGGTACACAACTGTGCTAAGGCTGAAAGAGGCTTCCTTGGATCCAAAACAATTAAATCAGGAGTACTGACCAGACCTCTTGGAAGTGGCTGCCCAACAGAACTATCTTATTTAATATTTGCTTTCCTTAGATTAAATTTCATTTTCTTACCTTCCTCTTTGCCTGGATTTCTCTTGCCCCATCTCCATGCACTCTGGTCACGCTGAAAGGTACTCCTGGTTCCCCAGATATGCCGTGTTTAACATCGCCCATATGTGCATCTGTTCTTGCTGTTCTCCGCTCAGAAGGAAGTCGCCAACTGACAGTTTATGGGCTGGATCTCGTCCACAAATATGTTTTATTTGGACTTCACTGTATTTTTCTTTTAAACTGGAGCCAACATTTAAAAATCAAAAATCCCACATGAAATTCTGGATTTCTGGCTCTGTTTGGAAAATGGAAGCTCTGGCTATATTGTGTCTGCTTTTATTCGAGGTGCCGGGCAGCGGCTGCTGAGTACAGCTGTCCTTTCTCGTTGGAGCTTGCACTCGGCTATGACTTTGTCGAAAGAAGAAACCTGGCTCCATGCAGTTACTTACATTACCTGCTTGGTTTCTTTACGTTGAGTCTGAGACTTCTACTAGGAGATACCATACAAAGGAGAGAAGGACACAGGCTTGGGGCATATGCCTCTGAGGCATATTATCTAATTAGGGAGATGGGCGCATAAATGTTGGACAAATTAAGTAAGATTTCAAGTGTTAAAAAGTTGCAAATTAAGTAAGATTTCAAGTGTTAAAAAGTTGCAGGAGCAACTCTAGTGCTATGGGATTTTATTAGAAGGGTATGAGAAAAAAATAAATATATGAAATTAAGGATTATGAGTGTAGAGACAAGGGAAATGATAATAACGTTTATTGAAGATTCACCATGTACCAAGCACTTTTCTAATGATTTCTGTTAACTTATTAACGTAACAACTCCATGAAAATTATCCTCTTCCTTATCCTCATCCAGATGAGGACACTGAGTCCTATAGAAGTTCAGCTTGAGACCTCGTAGCTGGTGAAGTAGAAAACGCGAGGTGTGTTAAGGTTGGACTGTGTTGTGCTGGAGACCATCAGGCTTGGAGGGAGGCCTGATCCCAAGTGGGCTGCCTGTGTAACACCAGACGAATGAGCTAGGCACTCAGAGCCCCATTTTACCCCTCTGATAATTATCCTGGTCTTTCTCTAAGAAGGAGATGGTGACAGTTTTTGGTGGTGATGGCACTGAATGTGTAGATGCTCATAACTGGAGAGTGGGAGGAGATCAGGGTTCCCACAGAGGAGTTACAAATCTGATTCATCAAATTACAGGACACCAATTGGGCTGCATTGACCAGTGCAACTCTTCTCAGTCTGCAGTGAGCCTATATATCACCTTGGGATCTTGTTAAACTTCAGATTCTGACTCAGGAAGTCTGGGCTGGGGTCCAAGATTGCGCATTTGTAGCAAACTAGCAGCTGCCGCCACTACTTCTAATCCAGGGACCAAACCTTGAGTAGCACAGACTAGTGGAAGGGTCACAGAGCGCTGATGCTGCAGTTGCAAGGGTACAGATCGTCTCTCCTGTTTCCAGAGCCTACTCACCAAGAATGTCAAGACCCTTCTCAGACCCTCTTTCCTGTCCTCCCATGGGGCCAGCCTGGGGGAAGTTTAGTGAGATCCTGATTTGGGGGTCTAGTCTAGGGTGAGGGAAGATGCCCTTTAGAATCTGTATTACCCGAGTTCTCAGCAGGGGCTTGGGCTTGAGGCCAGAGCCATATTAACAGTAAGTTACTACTTACTTTACTTTCTGTTTGTGCCTGTTTGTAACTCACCATCTCATAGGAGGGGTGCGGTTGTAGCCTGGGGCAAGATTCCATTAGGCATTCAGTCATCTCACAAATGTTGACTGAGCATCGACCAGGTGCCTGTTTCTATGCTGGCGTGGGGTCTCTGGCCATCTAAGAGTGCCCCTCAATTCTACCACAAACTGTTGCAGAACTATTCACGTATAGGACACTGTAATTACAGGGAAGTAAGTTGGGGAATCAGTGGAGATGTTCTACCCTTTTTATGAATAATGGTTATAGCAGACACGGTTTGCTACCTACCCAACATCCATTCCACTCTTCTTTTTTGCTGATGGGATCCCAGTTTTGTTCAGTTATTTATTTTCCTACATGTGAGTCTGGTGGGGTAACACTGTTAGAGTGGGAACCAGCTCTTTTTTTTTTTTTATGTTATGTTAATCACCATACATTACATCATTAGTTTTTGATGTAGTGTTCCATGATTCATTGTTCGCATGTAACACCCAATGCTCCATGCAGAGCATGCCCTCTTTAATACCCATCACCAGACTAACCCATCCCCCCACCCCCCTCCCCTCTAGAACCCTCAGTTTGTTTTTCAGAGTCCACAGTCTCTCATGGTTCGTCTGGGAACCAGCTCTTACCAGCTCATGAGAGATGATTGCTAAATTTTCAGAAGTCTGAGAGTCTGTTAAACAGTCATTATTAAAAATAAAGGTATTTAAACTTATAATTTAACAAACTATATTTTTAAATACTCAAAACTTAACACTTCCTAATTATTTGAGTACATTCTATTATCTATGCTCTTAAGATTTTGCATGTCTATTATATCTACATATATGGTGGGAATAATTTATAAAGGTATGCTACTATACATCTCTTCCAAACTCCCTGTCCAGTAATATCACATTAGTAGCTTGGATTTTGCCATAGTGGGTGTATTTATAACCAAAAATTGGCACATGCTATAGATCAGAGCTTTGATCTTTTTCCCTGGGTAAACCAGTTGTTAAACATTTACCAGCACACCACTGGGTAATCTTATCCCTAGCTGCAGCAGGGGTGGGGGTGGGGGGGTGGATTTTAATCAACTTAAGTTGAAAATGGTAGCCTATTTCTCTTCCTGTAGGCATGTGACCCAACTGTGGACAACAAGACATGAAAGTTGCTTTTTTGGGAGAGTTCTTGGATAGCTTTCCTTGCTTCTAAAAAGGAGACGAAAGGTAGAGATGAGCTCTTTCTGTTTCTGGTCATGTGATGTCTAGATGTGACATAGTCGGACTTTAAGAACGCTAAGGCAGGATTAACATGTATTTTGTTCATTTTTGTTTTATTTTTATTTTTTTGTACCTCAGTTCTAAGAAAAATTATTTTTTGTATGTATTTTTGATATTTTCTCTTCTAGAGGGGACCCCAATAGATGCGACATCTGGGGAAATACTCCTCTGCATTATGCAGCCTCCAATGGTCATACCCACTGTGTTTCATTCCTGGTCAACTTTGGTGCCAACATCTTTGCCCTGGACAACAACTTACAGTCTCCACTGGATGCTGCTGCCAGCAGAGAGCAAAATGAATGTGTTGCTCTCCTGGATAAGGCTGCCACTGCCCAGAATATCATGAACCCCAAAAAAGTTATCAGGCTGAAGGAGCAGGCTCAGAAGAATGCTAGGAGGCAGATCAAAGAATGTGAGAAGCTCCAGGAGAAGCACCAAAATAAGATGGCTCGCAACTATAGCAAGGAGGAATCTGGGACTCTTTCTTCTTCCAAGGGCACTTTCTCCACATCATCCCTTTCAAATGCTTCTGCTTCTGGTACATTTGGGTCACTGTCTAAGGGCATTAAAGACACCTTCAAGATAAAGTTCAAGAAGAACAAAGATACAGCGGAGCAGGTAGGAAAGGAGAGCAGAAGTGGGCAGAAGAATGTGATGGAAGTATTCAGAGAAGAGGAAGAAGACGCATTCTCAGGGAACTTCCAAGATAAGCTGCAGTTCTCAGAAGAGGAGAATGGATGTGTGCAACATGAATCCATTCTCAACCGTCCAGGTCTCGGAAATATTGTTTTTAGAAGGAACAAAATATCAAGTTCCGAAGACATCTCAGACAGCAAGAGGGAGTTAGGGCTTAAAATGAGCAGTGAATTGCTACAGAGACAAGGAGCAGCAGATGCTGATGAAGCTGAGGCTGATAAAGAGGAAGAGGACAACAGCCATGAAGATGAGATGCCTTGGGATGAGGATGAAGTGGAGTGGGAGGAAGATGTGGTTGATGCTACTCCTCTGGAAGTATTTTTGCAGTCTCACCATCTGGGAGAATTCCTTCCCATTTTCATGAGAGAGCAGATTGATCTAGAAGCTCTGTTGCTTTGCTCTGATGAGGACCTTCAGAGTATACAAATGCAGCTCGGTCCCAGGAAGAAAGTTCTTAATGCCATAAACAGAAGGAAGCAGGTGCTACAGCAGCCTGGGCAACTGGTCGACACCAGCCTCTGATAGAATGTTGGGGTCCACAGGGTGAGCCTGCAGCAGCGGGGTGATGCTGTGGCCCACTGGAAACACTCAGGCAACACCCCCTCTGCCCAATGCCAGACCACCAGGAATGGTTTCTAGGGATTCAGAGATACCCTCCTAAGAAAGAGGCCCAAACGGTACTCTGAGAAATACTCAATACCTGTGTACTCTGACCACCAGTGAGCAACTCAAGGAGACCTGGGAATAAGAAAATGGTGTTTCTCTTCAATTATCTTTTTGATATTTTTGTATATAGAAAGGGTTAAATGGATGACAGAGAAAGGAAAAACTTTTTTTACTTTTCCAGCTCTGGACTCAAAAATTATAATCTCTCATCACACAAGTGTGCTGTGTACTTCTGATTCTCAAAGCCTGGGGACACCCAACTCCAGTTCTGTCCTTAGCTCTATGACTTTGTCTGTTGGTGGAGACTTGAGTTCCTCCATTGGCCTGAGACTTCATGCCCAACTTAAATGTGCCTAACCCCTTAACAGATGTTTACATGTTTACAAGTAATGGACATGGGTCTATAATACTCCTGCCTGGGAACTGAGATAGAGTGGCAAGTAGGGAGAGTGAAGAAAGAAATAGAATACGGGGTACCTTTTATATAATTTGAATTGTATCTCCCCCAAATTCATATGTTGAAACCTTAAGCCCCAACGTAACTGTATTTGGAGGTAGAACCTTTAAAGAGGTGATTAAGGTTAAATGATACTATAAGGGTCATAAGGGACACAAATGGATGGTGTCCTTGTAAGAGGAAGAGTCACCGGGGATGCACATGCACAGAGAAAAGGTCATGTGCGGATACAGCAAGAAGACAGCCACCTGCAAGCCAAAGAGAGAGGCTTCAGGAAAAACCAAACCTTTCAACACCTTGATCTTGCACTTCCAGCCTTCAGAGCTGTAAGAAAATAAATTTCTGTTGTGTAGGCCTCCCAGTCTCTGGTATTTTGTTATGGCAGTCTTAGCAGTCTAACATAGTGCTGAAGCAAGAGGGTAAGAATGGAGAGAAAAGGGACACCTGGGTGGCTCATTCATTAGGCATCTGCCTTCAGCTCAGGCATGATCCCAAGGTCCTGGGATCAAGCCCCGCATTGGGCTCTCTGCTCCACAGGAAGCCTGCTTCTCCCTCTCCCACTCCCCCTGCTTGTGTTCCCTCTCTTGCTGTGTCTCTCTCTGTCAAATAAATAAAATCTTAAAAAAAAAAAAAAAAAGAGTGAGAAAAGAAGGATAGTGAAAAAAGTCTGGCCTACTTCATAATTTTTCTAAAGGTAAGTGGCTTCTGAAATTTCAAAAAGGGGGAAAAATCTAGGTCATTTGTAGGAGAAAGCTGATGGTAAAAGGAAATTTTACATTTTCATGCTTATTATGTGCATATCTTTTATTTACTGTTGTCTGCCACCATCACCACATGTCTGAATACAAGGAAGTTCTAAAATATAAATTGGCAGCATTGCTGCTGACATTTTTGAATGGCAATCCCACATCCAAATTGAAGCCCTACTGAATAGCTAAGCTTCACTGGATTTTTATAGCCAGGACTTACATCAAGTGGAATTTACCATTGATTGTATGTATAATATAGAAACAGCTGTTCATCTTCAGCATGGTTCCCATGCACATCTGTTTGGGTTACTTCAAGAGGCACCATGGAGAGGATAAGCTTAAGGAGGATACAGATGTTTACATCTGATGAACAATTGGCTCATTCTTCCTCAATGGATTGATTCAGAAAGATTGTCAGTCATGGAATAAATATGTTGCCCTAGGGGATGATTATGTTTCCAAATACCACATTTTGTTGGTCTGGAATAAACTGAGGTTGTGTTTGCTTTCAAAAAATGTGCACAAAAGCATTTGGCATATAGAAGACACCCAGAAAAAGTTTGTTGTGTCTGAGCCTGTCTGTATCATACTTCATTATTTTAGACGCCAGGATCCTCTCTCCACATGTTTCCCAGAATCTGCCTAATAAGATCCTGGTTCCTAGGATATAGGAGAAGTAGAAGCCACCAGGGGAGTGCTGCTGTTAACAAAAAGGATGCTTTCTAGTAGTGCTTTGTACATCATTGTCAGAGGTAAAAGTAATATAAAAAGCCTCGTGATGCATTCTGGTACAAAGAATTTTGAGCTGGAAACCAACATTGCTGTGTGGAGGATAGAATATCACGTTATGGAAATGGAAAGATACCTCTTTGGGAGAATGAGAAAAGGCAGGCCAGTGGAAATGTTGCTGGATCTCAGCTTTAAAGGATTTAGTTCTAAGTGCTTCGTGGGAATGCCTCATTTCTAGTTGGAATTTCCCTGCTGTCCTACTGGAGGGGCAGCATTTGGCTCAGAAAATACAGGAAGGGGAACGTTTGTTTGTCCAGTAGAACTGGAAGCTCTCACCATGACCACCCCCTTGGTCTTCATGTCAATTTTGTGATGAGAGAAAGGGATGTGTATTTGAAGGACATGTGGATTGTAAAAAAATCACCTAAAAATTCCATCAAAAATTGCTGGATTATAAAGAAGGGACCAAACATCATCCCTTTATGTTATCATAATGAATAATCATTAACCTTTGTGAGGCCAGAATGGGTTGTCAGAGTTATATATTTTTTTCAACAGCTGAATTTTATTTTTATTAAGGTAACCCAGCTTCTAGACTCGATTGGCTCATCTACCATTCCCCAAACATCTCCTGTTGCTTCATTTAAGGGGTAAATACCATATGTACAATTGTCACAAAAAATTGGCTCAAAATATATGAATGAAACAGTGAGAATTACTTTGGGTCTTATGTATCAGGGAGCAAAGAAGGTGAATTAAAACGTTCCCATACTGAGAACTCTCTTATGCCTACCTCCCTATCAGAGAAGCCATGAAACATGAAATTCCCACCTCTTTTGGGGAGACATTTGCCATTGGGGGGGTCTCACCAGGCACCTTTATGCTCTTCTCGTGGGGCTCTTGGCCTCTTTTGATTTATTTACAGAATCAGTAAGTGAGGGTTCTCCCAACTTCTCATCATCAAAGACATAGCCTCTCATGCAGCATTGCTATAAAAAAGGCTTATCCCATATTATAAAAGGTTATAAGTGTTCTAAGAATTCTAGATATTTCAAACTAAATGAAACAAAAGAGACCTAAGAGAAGAAGCTAGAGCAATATAAACACCTTGTCTAGAGAAGAAGCTAGAGCAATATAAACACCTTGTCTAGAGACAGTGATTAGAGGATTATGAGCCAGGATGAGGTTAAATATTCACTGAACTCAGACCTCCATCCCTTAAGCTAGATGCTTAGCTTAGCTCAATCCAGTGCTATCAAACTCCCCATCCCCCTTGCTTCTCTCTCTCTCCCTCCCTCCCTCCCTCTCTCTCTCTGTAGTCTAACATAAAAGTCAATGAGAAAGAGAATAAATAACATTTCACTGAAGGAGTTTGAGAAGTTACAGTGTGCAAATGCATATCATGCTTATGTGTCAGGTCATCCTGTTATACATGGCAGTTGTATGCTTGCAATTCCTAAATCTGAGTCACCAGCCCAGACCATTGTTTTGGGCTCCAAATCCATAAGCCCGAGTGCTTATCTGACATCTCCCCTAGAATGTCTCACAGTTACCTCAAACTCAATATGCCCAGAAGTAAACCCATCTTCTCCCAAGTCAGTGGTTCCTAACTGAGATAATTTTGCCCCAGGGACATCTGGCAATGTTGGGAGACATTTTTCATTATCATGAGTTGGGGGCAGGGGGGTAATGTTACAGGTATCCAGTGGGTAGAAACAAGGGATGCTAAACATCCTACAGTGCATAGGACAGCCCGCCTCAACAAATGTCGGTAGTGCAGAGACCGAGTGAAAAGCCCAGTGCTGTATCTACTCCTCCTCTTCTGAGGAACGGCAAGTTTCACTTAACAAGCCTCTGATCTTCTCTCTGGCCCTTCCTCTCTCTGTCCCCTAATTACAGCCTCACCAGGTTTCCTGTAGCTTCCTGAATATAGCATACCTCTCGTATGCCTGTGTCTCTGCACACCATCATCCGTCTTCCTAGGAAACCCTTCCTCCATGTAGCCAACCCCATTGGGAGACTCACCCTCTCCGCCCACCCCTAGTCTGGGTTGGATACTCTTCGTAGCTGTGCAGGCCATCTTCTGCTTAATCTCCAGAATCTCCCTCTGCTATTCTCCACCCTCCTTTGTGTCCCAGTGGTGACCTCTGTGGACTGCCCTTGGACTTCTGGTTGGGTTTGGCCAGTGGGAGGCACCATCACGAGACCAGAGGGTTGGAGGAAAGAGAGATTGAGACATTTGCTCCACCTGTTTCTTCCTTGTGGGGCAGCAGCTGCCTCCCTTCATCTAAGCCCACAGCCCCTGTTTGGCAGCCCTCTGCTGTAGCTCCAGTACTTTCTGGGTTCCCTAACTGCTCATGCCAACTCAGTGAGGGGTGGTAGCAGCTTCCTACTGTTGCTGGCCCTGGCATGCTTCACCATCCCTTTCTCCTTCCTGTAACTAACTCTCCTCTCTCCTTTCTTAACAATCCCTTCATTAAATTCTCTCCAATCATTCCTTTTGAGTGTGGCATGGATTTCCTGCTGGGACCCTGATTGTATGTTCCTGTTAACACTGAAGCATGGGGGGCACCTGGGTGGCTCAGTTGGATAAGCGGCTGCCTTCAGCTCAGGTCATGATCCCAGGGTCCTGGGATCGAGCCCCACATTGGGCTCCCTGCTTGGCGGGAAGCCTGTTTTTCCCTCCCCCACTCCCCCTGCTTGTGTTCTTTCTCTAGCTGTCTCTCTCTCTGTGTCAGTTAAATAAATAAAATCTTAAAAAACAAAACAAAACACTGAAGCATGGTACTGTAATCGTCTTTTTACATCTCTGTTTTCCTAGACTGTGTGCTTTTCGGGGTGAGGACTGTTTTGTTTTGTTTTTTATTAATGTATACTTGACATATAATATATTAGTTTCAGGTGTACAACATAGTAATTTGACAATTATATACTTTATGAAATGTGCAACCATGATGAGTGTCATCACCCTCTGTCACTGTACAACTTTATTACAATATTATTGACTATATTCCCTATGCTGTACTTTTCATCCCTATGACTTACATTTATAACTAAAGTTTGTACCTCTTAATTACCTTCATGAGGACTGTTTCCGTTCTGTTATAGCTTGGTGGCCTAGAACAGAGTTATTGGGAGGGCTCTTCAGAAAGAACAAAAGAAGATATCTATGAACTAAGGCATTTTTAAAAAATTTTAATTCCAGTATAGTTAATGTACAGTGTTATATTAGTTTCAGGCATACAATATAGTGATTAAACAATTCTATACACTATGCAGTGCTCATCAGGATAAGTGTATTCTTAATCCCCTTCACCTCTTTCATCCATCCTCCTGCTCACCTCCCCTCTGGTAACCACCAGTTTGTTCTCTATAGTTAAGAGTCTGTTTCTTTTTGGTTTCTTCCTTTCTTTCTTTCTTTTTTGTTTTTAACTCTGTTCATTTTTTTCTTAAATTCCACATATGAGTGAAGTTATATGGTATTTGTCTTTGACTGACTGACTTCACTTAGCATTATATCTTCTAGATCCATCCATGTTGTTGCAAATGGCAAGATTTCATTCTTTTTTATAGCTGAGTGATATTCCATTAAATACACACACACACCACATCTTCTTTATCCATTTGTCTATTGATGGATACTTGCACTGCTTCCATAATTTGGCTATTCTAAATAATGCTGCAATAAACACAGGGGTGCATATGTGTTTTTGAATTAGTGTTTTCATTTTCTTTGGGTCAATACCCAGCAGTGGAATTACTGGATCATATGGTAGTGCTATTTTTAATTTTTTTTCTATTTTTAATTTTTTGAGGAACCTCCATACTCTTCCACAGTGGCTGCACCGGTTTGCATTCCCACTAACAGTACACAACGGTTCCTTTTTCTCCATATCCTCGCCAACACTTGTTGTTTCTTGTGTTTTTTATTCTAGCCATTCTGACAGGTATGAGGTGATATCTCATTGTGGTTTTGATTTGCATTTCTCTGATGATTAGTGATGTTGAGCATCCTTTCATGTGTCTGTTGGCCACCTGTATGACATCTTGGGAGAAATGTCTGTTCAGGTCTTCTGCCCATTTTTTAACTGGATTGTTTGTTTTTCTGGTGTTGAGTTGTGTAAGTTTTTTATATATTTTGGATCCTAACCCTTTATTAAATATGTCACTTGCAAATATCTTCTCCTATTCAGTAGGTTGTCATTTAGTTTTGTTGGTTGTTTCAGTTGCTGTGCAGAAGCTTTTTATTTTTAGGCTGTCTCAATAGTTTATTCTTGCTTTTGTTTCCCTTGCCTCAGGAGACACATCTAGAAAGAAGTTGGTATGGCCAGTGTCAGAGAAATTACTGTAATCAAGGCAATTTTAATAATCCCATTATCATACACCCTTCTCTACACATGCCTTAGGGTTGTGACCATTAAGTTCCCCAGAAAGACTTCACAGTCACTTGCGATGTGCAGAAGCAGATCACATGGATATTTTATTCCAGTGCAAAGGCCCCCATCCAGACAGCCTGGCAAACATGATAAATTTGGGGCTAGGTCACCTAGAGCATGAAAAAAGGACCTGTTAGGAGGAGTTTGGGTAGGAAAACAAAGCAATAGAAAATGCTTTTCTTTGCTGGTGACTTCTCTGATCACCAGCCTAGGAATGGGGGTGGATCTCTGCTAGTGATTCAGGGGAGCTGGGGAAAACACACCTCAGTTTCCCCATCTGTAAGTTGAAGAGGTTGGACTAGATGATTCCTAATGACCCTCTCAACACTGATACTTTAGTAGACATCTGTAGATTTGCCTACCCAATACCCATTTCTCCCTCTTTTTGCTAAGAGACCCCTTCCCTTCTATCAGCTCATGTGGTCAGGTGGGCTAAGTCTACTCTTGACTTCAAGAGGGGGTCGTGTGATCCAGGCCTAGATCATAGGGATATCAGATTCCCCTGGATGATGTTTCTTCAGGGATAGAATGAACGTGGCGCTGGCGTGGGCCAGAGTATTCCATCTCATTTAGCCACAATGCTAGGCACAGAAATGGGCACATGACCTACACGGTCCCCTGAGTCTCAATTCTGGGATAATCTCCATTTCTGCTAGGGTTGCTGAAGAGAACAGCCAGGGGAAAACTTACTTAGTAATGGAGCCAACACTGAAGAAAACAGAGCTGAGGGATGGAGAGAGCAAGACTGGGTCCTGCGGACACTTGGAGCCCTGGATACAGCTGTAGCTGTGTTCTTCTTAATTACAAGAGCCAATACATTCCATTCCTCATTCATTCATTCTGCCTAAGGTAGTTTGAGTTGTGGTCTCTACCACTTGTGACCAAAGGAGTCCTGACCAATACAGAAGGTCCACTGTGCCTTGAGATTTAAATTATAAGAAGCCAGAAACAAAAGTCCACATAATGTATGATTCCATTTATGTGATATGTCCAGAAGAGGCAAGTCCATAAAGATAGAAAGTAGATCAGTGGCTGGCAGGGGCTGGGAAGAAAGGAGAAAGGGGAGTGACTGCTAATGAGTACCAGGGTTCTTTTTGGGGGTGATGAAATGTTCTGGAACTACAGAGTGGTAATGGTTGCACCCTGTAAACATGCTAAAAAGCACTGAATTGTGTACTTTAAACTCATAAATTTTATGGTACATGAATTGTATGCTAATTAAAAAAATAGAAATAAATTTAATTATAGTCCTTGAAACTCCCCCAGGGAGTGAATGGAAGCACATGCTCCCCTCACTTTCTTTGCCATGAAGCACAGAAATGACCAAAGCAAGAACTGCAGAATGGGAAAATGCTTTATTTCAAGGAATTACAAAATGCAGTGAAATATAGGGGAAAGGGAGTATTACTATAGTCAGGTGAAACAGAAGAAATGGCCACCTAGTTTTGCTTTCCAACTACACACACAAATGGGGATCTCATTGTTTAAGGTAAGACACAATAAGCTCAAAACTATAGCTCACTAGGCACTGGGCTCCCTCATTTGATCTAGAAATTGCAAGACAGCTGGTAACAACATCCCTTGAGCTGTAGCTTCTACCTCAATGCAAAGTTCCTTCGTTTTATTTACCAGACGACCAGGAATCATACACTAGTTTGGCTGCAACCATGTCTTCCACCGCCATTCCTGGAATGGACAGAAATGTGACTCACTTTTTGTCAGAACAACTTTTCCTGGAACAGTCCAGGCCCTGTGACTGGCAGTTTCCCAATACATGGTCCGGGCTGCTAATGCTCATGGGGGTAACATGGACTGATATCCAGAGGTGAGCTTAGGCTTGGAAGGTCTGTGATGGGAGAGGGTGAGGCAGGGAAAAGATGCTAAGTGAGCAATGCCCACCAAACACATTTTTTTAGTGTCCTTCAAAGTTTAGTTCAGGGATCAGAAAACCTTCTGTAAAGGGCCAGATGGTAAATATTTAGGCTTTGCAGGCCCTATGGTCTCTTGCAATTAACTCTGCCATTGTACTGCAAAAGCAGTCCTACATGATAGGTAAACAAATGAGCCTGGCCACGTTCCAATAAAATTTTCTTTATGGACACTGAAGTTTGAATTTTATATAATTTTTATCTGTCATAAAATATTCTTTTTTCCCCCCCCAGTCATTTCATTAGAAACCATTCCTAGTTTGAAGGCAGGACAAAAAGAGGTGGTGGGCTTAGTACGGCCCACAGGCTATCGTTTGTGGACCCTTGGTCTAGTCCAAACCGTGCATCCTTCAGCAACCCCACCTGTCTTGTTTGGGATACATAACTTAACCTCAAGTGGGTATATGTTCTCAAAGGATAGGGGCTGATTTTTATTAATTTTCGTAGGCACCACTGCACCCAGTAGAGTCTGATACATAACAGGTGTTTAATATGCATCTGCTAGATGAAAAGATGTGCCAGTAAAACAATCCCCAAAGCAAGAAAACAAACATTGCTCAAAAAGGATAGAGCAGACCTGTAGTGTTGTCTCCTGAAGGGGTTGCTGACTTCTGATCTGCTCTGAACTCTGAAACTTTCTGTCACAACTGGATCAGTATAATGTCTTTGAACCAGGCGCTGGGTAAAGTTTATCCTGCTTTGGCCTGTCTCTCTGTGCATGAGAGATTTTTTAAATATTTAAAAGCCGGCAAGGCATGGATACTGACTGACTGACATGGATGCTAGATGGCCAGAGCACTCTTAATGTTCTGCCAAGCATTAAAGCTTTGGGTGATTGATCATAGGAAATAGGGAAGATCTTGAGAGCAGGGCAGAAGACATTTCTGAGGGGCTCAGGGAAGCAACTATTTATCAACCAGTTTGGGAGAATTTCAATATTTTAGGTGTGACAGCTGTCTATCATTACCATGTGTGTCTACCATGTTACCATGTGTGTCCATTTCCTTAGATCTGGTGGGGCTGAGGGGCAGACCCGCCACTGGGAGCCCGTCCTTGGTTGGGCTTCTGCCTGCACAACTCTGGTGGCAAGAGGGCTCCCATGGCAGCCCTTCTCAAATCAGCAAGTAGGAGGGTGGGGACGGATGGAAAAAAAGAGGTCTCAGGTTGTACTTTCTGCGTGGGTCTCTTCCAGTGGGTCTCCCTTCCATTTCCCTTAAGCTCCCTGTCTTGTAACAACTTTATCCCCCACCCCCACCTCTGAAGGATACCTTCTTCTGACTTTCACTTGTTTTATTATTATTTTTTTGGTTTTATTTAAATTCAAATTAGTTAACTACCTAGTATATTATTAACTTCAGGAGTAGAGTTTAGTGATTCATCAGTCTTATATAACACCCAGTGCTCATTATACCAGATGCCCTCCTTAATGCCCATTACCCAGTTACCCCATCCCCCCCCCACCCCTCCAGCAACCCTCAGTTTGTTTCTTATGATTAAGAGTCTCTTATGGTTTGTCTCCCTCTCTGTTTTTAATCTTATTTGATTTTTCTGCCTTTCATTAAATCTAAATGGTTTACTGCTGACACTTGCTATGTGCAAATCCTTTTACACACACATCACTGAATTCTCATAAACACTGGAGGTAACAGGCAGTGAAGAGACTGTGGCTTAGACAGGTGAGGTCCCTTGCCCAAGGATGCATGTCCAGGGACTAGCAGAGAAGGAAAGCCAGCCCAGGACCGCCCAGTTCCAGAGTTCACGGGCTTACCCACTATTCTAAGACATGTAAATAACTGACCCAAATGACGTATTTCATGACTCAGCTATGGAGTCGGGTGACTCATTCCTCTTTCCGCCAATGGGCAAACCTGCCCTGTACTCTGGCTGGATGTATGTTCTGGGAGCTAGAGTCCTTACCCAAAGACTTGAACACTGTGGTCTTGTCACAGTGTGCTGGCTTCACTCCCTTCACCACTTCTCCCAGCTCAGCGAAGATCTCGGTCTGTGAAAAGAACACACACTGACCCAGGCCATGGAGCCCATGTCCACTCCAGCCAGCTTCTGAGGGAAGGCAGGGAGGGCACCCACAACTGGGTAAGGGAGAAACCTGACAAAAAGACCATGTGTAAACTGGCTACCCCATTTTGCATGGCATCTGCCTTTATGATACCATGAATGTAGAGATATAAGTTTGTGGCTGGTGGAATGTCTAGCCAAACAGTGTGTCAGTGAGAAAATCAGCCTGTTCTTATCTAAACACTCAATTTGGCAGCCCTCTTCTTGCTCCTATGCTCTGATTACAAAAGAATGAGGCCAGAAAGTGGCCAACCCCAGTCCTATCTTGTTGGCCACATTGCAAAGGTATGCAGGCACTTATCTCCCAATCTTACTGCCTCATAGGACAGCTCAGTCTGACGGAAAAGTCCATCAAGCTGCTCTCTCCAGGCAAGGGGGACAGGAAAACACATGTCAATACCACAGTGGCCACATTACTTCAGAAGGGGATCAGAAAGGGTTGAGAGATGTTTTAGGAGCTGTCACCGCCCCCCGCCCCCCGCCATGAGGTGGGGGTGACCGAGGTCTGGAGCAGTCCAATGGAAGGGGATGTTAATGAAACCCTGGGATCCCTGTGAGGCCAGCTGGGCAGCAGTCCGCTAGGAGGAGGCGCTCACCCCTGACAACAGGACATCTCCAGACTCTTTCAGGGCGGCCTCCTGGGAGTCCACATAAAGCACAGCCTGTTTCATCAGCTCGTCGTCCAGCTCTCTCCAGTCGGGTCTGCTGGCCCCGATGGCTAAGAGACAGCAGAACAGACCGTGAGCCCGGAAACAGCGTCAAGGGACACTACACATGCCGACGAATGGAAGAGGGGTGGGGGGAAAGGAGGTGACCTAGGACACGGGAACATTCAGATTTGGGATGCCCCATTTCCCCATGCCAACCCCTTCCAATCAGCAAGAATGAACACTCATCAGTAAGAATGCCTGCCTTTTTTTTTTTTTTTTTTTTTTTGCATTTCATATCACGATCTTTCTAAAAGATTTTGAGTCAACTTAACATTCATTTATTGGTTGTCTACTAGCCGTGGGATGTTTCACACATATTATTTATAGTCCTCACAAGTACACTTCGTGTCTGAATCTCACTTAAAAGATGCACACACAGAGGTTCAAAGAAGTGAAGGTGCTTGCCATGGTTCTGTATCTGATAAGTGCACCTAATGGCTCAGAGGGAGCCCTGCCTTTCACGCCTCTTCCATTTATCTGGGGCAGCGACTTTTTTAATAAGAACCCTGAAACAGGGGCGCCTGGGTGGCTCAGTCGTTAAGCATCTGCCTTCGGCTCAGGTCATGATCCCAGGGTCCTGGGATCGAGCCCCGCATTGGGCTCCCTGCTTGGCGGGAAGCCTGCTTCTCCCTTTCCCACTCCCTCTGCTTGTGTTCCCTCTCTCACTGTGTCTCTCTCTGTCTAATAAATAAAATCTTAAAAAAAAAAAAAGAACCCTGAAACAGAGACATCACCTACAGCTTATTCCTACCCCATGCTCCTCCATCTTCTGCCGATCTGCTTGCTCTCGAATCATACTCATTCCTCACCCCCAACCATTTCTCTGTTAACTCATGACAAAAGAGCCCAGCGCCAGGGTCATGGAGAAGCCCTGATAAAGAGGAAACTGGCTCCATCCTGGCCCCGAGATTTCACATCCTTTGCTGAGAGCCCGGGGCATAATGATGAATCCAAGGAATCATGCCTCCTGGCACATAAGATAAGGTGGAAGCTGCCACCAAATGCCTGCAGGGCCCGGAAGCTAATGGACAGGGGCAAAGCTGGTCAGAGGGACTGCATTGGAAATGGTGGAGGCCTAAGTTCACAGAAGAAAGCAGGCCCTTGTCAAGAAGGCAATCAGCCTTCAGCTGCGGCTAATTGTGGCCATGTGAGAATGCAGGGCTGCCGTTAGTCTCCCCTTCCTCCTTTTTTTTTTTAAAGAGAAGCAGGAAATCTATTTGCATGTGTTATTTCTTGATTTTTAGAGCACACTATGGTCCAAACAAAACACATCTGCTGGTTGGATCCAGCCATGGCCAGCTAGTCTTTGGAAACCGCTATAAAGCCTTACGCCAACATAAGGCAGCATTTATGTGCCTTCTCACACTGCATCCAGTTTTCTCTGCTTGTTCCTGCTCCCGCTGTTGTCCCTCACTCTAATTTTCAAAGAGAGGGGTGTAAAAATGTCCTTCTTGAAGGTCATTTGTGTGGGGAGTTCTATAGAACAAAAGCATGAACTAAATGAAGCTCGTAAATAAATCATAAGCTGGTGGGAAAAACCCTAGCTTCTCAAGCCACCTCTTCTCATTGCCCTTGTGTCTCCCCCCAAACCCTCGCTGCCCCAGTTCTTCTGAGCAGGGCGAGTTCTCAAAGGGTTGTGTGAGGCCACTTGGGCAGATGGAGGTGGGCCAGGCAGCAAAGGGAGGGGCCTGACTTAGACTGGGCCCTGGCCTTGCTTCAGGGGAGCTAGAATGGGTGAGGGTCAGACCCTGGCTGGGGAAGGGGGGGTGCGGGGGCAGGATGAGGGAAATGCGAGCGAGGGTGGAATTGGGCCTATGTCTTAGCCAAGTTGCAAAGTAAGTAAAATCTGTTGTTGGTGTTTCCCTGTCAGCCGCACTGGTAACATACTTTCCTGAAGTATATTTGATGCCTCTGTAAACACATAAACCAATTTTGTCTTTAGGCTAGGGAAACAGAAGAGATGCCTTGACTCACAATCAAGGCAGCTCTTCCTGGAGATTCACAGTGTGAGAGATTCCCTGTTGTTGGCTTTGAAGATGGAGCATCCACATTACAAGGAACGTGGGCGGCCTCTGGGAGCTGAGAACCACCCCCAGGAAACGGGCACTCTTATCCTACAATGTAAAGAATCTGCCACAACCACCCGAGCCCAGAAGAGGTTCTCTGGGCTCTAGATGAGACTGAAGCACGGACAACACCTTGATTTCCCTCTTGTGTGAGCAGAGGACCCAGCTGAACCCTGCCCAGACTCCCCAAACCACAGAAACTGCAAAATAATAAATATGTGCTGCTTTAGGCTGGAAAAAAATAAAATCAAGTCTGTCTTGCTGAAGATTCAGCTCTTGTCTGTTTCACCAAGAACTGGTTTCTCGTGATTCCCGATGACCTTCCACAATGGTGTTACTGTCCATAAACCCAGAACTGACCCATCTCTTGCCTACTTACCCCCTGGACCCAGATCATAACACCAGTCCCACACGGGCTGAGACTGTCACTTCATTTTGGCCCATTCCAGGGACGTGCCACACTTTTGTCTCCTCCACAGAACTTAATCTTTAGCTAGAACATCAGTTCATCTATTTGTTTACCTGTTACCTATTTCCCCTCCCTAGAATGTAAGTACCAGGAAAGCAATGACCTTGAGTGCTGGCTTATTTTGGTCTGCCCAGCACCTAGAACAGTGCCTGGCACATGGTAGGAATTCAGTACACGTTTGTGATTAGATGCGTAATCATGACACTTGGCTCCTGCCTGCTCATCTGCCAGTGTGTACAGAATTCTTAGCTTTTGAGATCACATCATATGCTTGTCACTAAAACATAGGGTACCAATAACATGTTTAAATCCCTAGTATTTGCCTCCCTATGCACCAGATTCCAGTCTTCTTACTGTAAGATAATATAGAACATAATTTAAGAGCTTGGGCTCTGAGGGTAAGATTGGCCCAGTTCAAATCCCAGTTCTACCACTAAGAACCTCTGACTTTGGGCAAGTTACTGAATCTCTCCATGCCTTGGTTTGTCCACCTATAAAATGAGGGTCATGATAATAATAGCTCCTACCTCATAAGGTTGTTGTAAGGACTGAATGATAGAATACAAATAAAGAATTTAGACAGCACCTGCAATGGTAAGTATTTAATATAGACCAGTTCTTGCTATAAACTCCAGAGCCACTCGAGAATCTTCAGAAGCCCCAGGAACTCTTATGTTTGGATTCCCACCTATCCAAGCACACATACTAAAGAGCATCCACAAGTCACATTGAATATCTTTTGTGCCGTAATTAAAAAACTTTTTTTTGCCGGGGGGGGGCGGTTAATTCTAAGTATTGTTAAGAAAGAATGAATCATTGGGCACCTGGGTGGCTCAGCTGGTTAAGCGACTGCCTTCGGCTCAGGTCATGATCCTGGAGTCCCTGGATCGAGTCCCACATCGGGCTCCCTGCTCGGCAGGGAGTCTGCTTCTCCCTCAGACCCTCCCCCCTCTCATGTGCTCTCTGTCTCATTCTCTCTCTCTCAAATAAAAAAAAAAAAAAAAAAAGAATGAATCATTTGGCTTTTGTGATTTAAATTTCGTTACATTTAAGAACTTATCTGTGACTGACCACTTGCCATAATGTTACATTTTATAGAGATTTAATTAAATTTATTACAAGTTTCAGGTTTGTGACTTTTGTTTCATATTTTTGAGTGAATATTGTTTTTCAGGGCTCACATGTTTCTGAGGACCTTAAAAAGTTTGGTCATTTTGCATGGGTAAAACAGCCCTGCAGATGCACCCACTTGGTCCAGCCTAGGGACAACTCTGGCCACCACCTACCAATGCTCATGGAGCCACTCTACTTACCATTGATGTGAGCCCCTGGCTTCACCCATTCACCAAACAAAATGGGCTCTGTTGCCATGGTGACTGTGATGATCACATCTGCCCCTGTCACAGCCTCCTGGACCGATGAACACACCTGTACCTCTCCTTGAACCGTGTCCGCAAACTTCTCTGCATTTTCTTTGGTGCGGTTCCATATCCTCACCTTCATTGGGGGGTAACAAGAGGGACATTGGTACCATGATTGTTTGGCTGTTTAAGTTTCATCAAGCCCAGGGGTACCAGGGGAAAGTTGAGCCTCTCTAGGGTAAGGGCTCTGGTTATTTAAATCATCTCCTATGGAGAAAGAACATTTGATCAAGGGCACAGCATTAATTGGGGCAGACACCCGACCAAATATTTGAAAATGACCTTTCTCTACTCCTTTCTCCTTACAAGAAGCGGGGGCAGTTTTTCAGTTCTAGCCAGGGATACCCAGCCTCCATAGCTTAATAGCTACTACATAACTTATAAATTAGCAGGGCAAGTTCTGGAGCTCGACAGGTTTGGAATCAATCCTCACTCTGTCACGTACTGCTCACTGCTGAAATGACTTAACCTCATGCAGCCCGTATTCATGTCTACGAAATGTACATGGTAACTGGGCACAGTCAGCATCAAGCTCTCACTTTGCGTTCGAGACTCTGTAAAGGAGTCCTAGCAGATGTGGGATTCTATGGCAGCGCTGTGCATGGAATAACCTGATCTCTGAAGGGTATGTAGGGGGTTGAAGATCAGAAGGGTTTGAGGAGTGAATAGTGCAGGGGATGAAAAAGTCAAAAGTAGTAGCTACAGTTAGAATCCTGGCCGACGCTGGTGGGAGCCGGGTCATTAGCCTCCCCAGGAGGTTGGGGACTTGCTAGCTTGCTTAGCAGACTTCCATGTGTGGAGTGGGGGTTGTCGACCCTCAACGGAAAACAGGGCCTAAAGAATCTCTCATAAGGAAACGTAAGAAATACAGAAGTAAATGTTATGCCTAAGTTCATCAACCAAGGTAAAACACAATACAGTGTGCCCTATCAAAGGAGAATGGTTACCCAGAGCACCCTTCTTGATAAAAAATTATGCAAATAGATACAAAAAATGGGTAATCTGAAAAGTGATGGTGTTAGAACATCTCATGAAAAGATAGGATAGACAACTGGGTGTATCTCACATGATGGAAACCACTTGATGAAAAGCTAATGAGAGGACTGGAAAGTGTTAACTGCTTATCTTTGAAAACAGATAAAAGGCATTTTTCTTTGTTCTTCCTTATAGTCTATATTTGCCGAAGCAGAGGTATTATTTTTATCATTAAAAGGTCATATTTTAAGGGGTGCCTGGGTGGCTCAGTCCGTTGAGCCGCCAACTCTTGATTTCGGCTCAGGTCATGATCTCAGGGTTGTGGGATTGAGCCCTGTGTGGGGAAATCCTTGCTCAGGGGGGAGTCTGCTTGAGATTCTCTCTCTCTCCCTCTCCCTTTGCCCCTCCCTCCCCCATGTTCTCTCTCTCTCTCAAATGAGTAAATCTTTTTTTTTTTAAATGTCATATTGGGGCGCCTGGGTGGCTCAGTTGTTAAGCATCTGCCTTTGGCTCAGGTCATGATCCCAGGGTCCTGGGACAGTGCCCCGCATCGGGCTCCTTGCTCAGCAGGGAGTCTGCTTCTCCCTCTGCCGCTCCCTGCCACTCTGCCTACTTGTGATTCCTCTCTCTCTCTCTCTCTCTCTGTGTCAAATAAATAAATAAAATCTTTAAAAAAAAAAAAAACATCTGCCTTTGGCTCAGGTCCTGATCCCAGGATTCTGGGATGGAGCCCTATGTGGGGATCCTTGCTCAGAGGGGAGTCTGCTTCTCCCTCTTCATCTGCCCCTTCTCCCACTTGTGCTCTCTCTCTCTCAAATAACTAAAATCTTAAAAAAAATAAAAAATAAAAAATATTATATTTTAAATCCGCCCTATCCCTCTCACACACGTACAAAAATAAAAGTAGCATCAAACGTTCCCATAAGAAGTGGGAGGCATGACTGGGGAAAAGTGGACCAACCTCTGGGCTGTGGAAGCAGGGTGCTGTGGTCTCTTGCCCTCTAGGCCTCATTCTCAGTTTGTGGGTCGATACCCATGAATACCTAAAGACTCCCAGATTCTCCTCAGAGAAGCACAGAGAGGGACCGAAAGGAAAACTGAATGTATATAATGGATATAATATAATCCTTTAACTGCATGAGCTTGCTGTATCCTCTGGCATACCCTAGGAATGGAGAAACTGGAGACAGATGATTCAGGTCTCTTCGCCTCCAACGGGACTTCCGGGCAAGTCATTAAAAGAGTGGTCTAGATCAGACTCTTTATAAATTTTTATTTATTTATTTCTTTGAGAGAGAGAAAGAGATAGCATGAGAGGAGGGAGGTTCAGAGAGAGAAGCAGACTCCCTGCCGAGCAGGGAGCCCGATGCGGGACTCGATCCCGGGACTCCAGGATCATGACCTGAGCCGAAGGCAGTTGCTTAACCAACTGAGCCACCCAGGCACCCTAGATCAGACTCTTGACTTAACTATTTCAGAATAGCCCGAGTCGCAGTGAAGTAGAGGAGATAAAGGCCCCGACTGCTCCCTCCCCTCTTCTCCCCCAACCTTCCCTGGACTTACCTCCTTAAAGGAGAACTGCTCTGTGAAGACCTCATAGTGGCTGTAGGCCTGGACCCCAGCCCCAAGGATGCACAACACCTCACTGCTGGGTGCTTTCAAAAACTATCGGAGAGAAGCGAGGTGGCGAAGGTCAAGGGAGAAACAATGGCCAGGTGAAGGACAGATACAGTTTGAATATCAGGAGCCTTCCACCCTATCTCCAGCTCCCTCACTGTCTCTTGGGCAATGAAGCAGATGGCATTTTGTGTTTCAATTTTCCCTCTGTGGAGTGTGGAAAGGAGGAAGGAGCCTTCACTGAGCATCTCATATATGCCAATGCTTTACCCTCATGATCACATTTAGAGCAGCCAATGACCCTGTGAGCTAGGCACTCCGACATTTATCCTCTTCCTCCAGATGACGAAATTGGGGTCCAGAGAGGTTAAGTAACTTGCTCAGAGTCCTACAACTATGAAATGGGCACCTTGGGGCTCCAAACCATATCTCTCATTCTCCAAAGCCCACATTCTTTCTCCTGTGCTGCCCCATCTTGGGGGCATGGGAAGCCCCACCCACTTCTCAGAGCCCTGAGTTACTTTGAAGAGCTACCTAGACTCCATGGGCCCTTGTGACTCAAGGTTCTCAGCTGTATTTTTCTGAGCCCACTGCTGACCCTTTCTCAGCCTCCATCTTCCTGTAGAGAGGAATGTAGAGTTGGCAATTGTGGGGCTTGCTGAGGACGTATGTGTGTCTGTGTTTGGGAGTGGGGTTTATGATGAACTCCTATCAAGTGTCGCCTCTCCAGTGAAGTCATTCTGACCTCCCTGGGACAAGTCGCCACTTGACAGCGCTTATTTGTTTACAGATTCATTTTCTTGTCCTGGTCTGTGAGCCCATGAGGACAGAGAGAGTCTCATGTGCGCAGATTTGGCACATATCTACTATTACGTATAAGAAATAAAGTGAGGTTCCTAAACCTCAGCACAACTGACATTTGGGCTGGATAATTCTTTGTTGGCCAGGGTGGGTGGGTGGGTCGTCCTGTGCATTACAGGATGTTTAGCAGCATCCCTGGCCTCTATCCATTAGATGCAGCATCCCCTCCCTCCCCTAGTTGTGACAACCAAAAATGTCTCCCATGCCTAAATGTCCTTGGGGCAGGAGGCAAAATCATTCTGCATTGAGAACCACTGGTATAGAGAATATCACTTGCCCCTCAAGCCATCCATATTAAATAAGACCCTCGTTTGCCCTTTCTCTATTTCATTTAGTAAAATTTGAGTTCCTTGGGCCTACTCTTTCTTACAATGTTAATTACAGCATTTCTGGAATGTAATCTTAAAAGTGAAGGTCTCTTGAATTATTAATTACTAGCAAAACGGAGTCTCAGAAATATGAGCAGATGTTCATCTCACCTTTAGCTGCAGAAGGGGAGATACCATTTTGCGCCATAAAATATCATTTAAAGTTATCTGACTTGAAAAGTTTTCAGAACTACAATATCCATACAACTCTCAATCTTATGCTCTTATGCAACAAGGAGAATTAGATGATTTTTTCCTTAACTAAATCAATTTGTTTTTCTGTTCTCAGTTAATATGAATCTATTCTTAGAAGTATAAGTGGGTTCCAGAAATTGTTGCAGTGTCCTGTAAAAGTAACCTTCAGCTTCTGAAACTAAATCCCTAACTCTGATTGGTTGTCTTGATCATTTATTGCCTCGGTAATAAGGTTACCATTGACATCCCTTTCTCTAAATAGTGTAACATTTATAAGATTTATTTAAAAAATAACAGCACCAGTGGCACTTCATTCTTTTCCCATTGCAGATAATTAAAAACATGTATATGAATCTGCTAGGTTTCTTACGGTAAAGTTTGAAAGTGTGTTTTTCATCTGCATTTGCTAATGAATAGCACTGCATCAGTCTCTCCTTGCCATCTCTCCAGCTCCCTCTCAGGCCATGCTCCCCTGCTCCCCTGCATTTCCTGTCCTTCAGCCTCTCATCTTCTTTGCAGATTCCCAAGCACATGTGCTTCCATCAACCACAGGGCCTTTGGACAGGTTCTTTCCTCTTCACAGAATACTTTCCTTTCTGTCCCGCACAAGTAATTCCTACTAACTTTCGAATTTCTGCTCAGATATCCTTTACACAGGAAAAGCCTTCCCAAATCCCACAGACCCCCGGCTATACACTCTCATGGCACTTCATCTCTTGCATTCAATGTATTTGTCAGTGTTGTGGTTTCACATTTATTGGTATGATCTTTGGGTTAATATCTGTTTCCCCAAATAGACTCTGTGTTCCATGACGGCAGGTACTGTTATCTGGTTTTGCTCACTATTCTATGCCCCAGGCTGAGCACTGGGCCTGGCCCCTGGTGGGCACTCAAATATTTGTTGAATAAATGCACGCCAGGGATAAACCCTGATATATACTGTCACCTTGAGAAAGCATGTCAGAGTCCTCAACCCAGGTTATGTGCAACCCAAATGCAAAGAAGTTACAGTGACTGCCAGGCCCGAAAACTTCCTATACGTCTCATCTTCCTCCCTGAAGCGCTAAATGAAAGAGAAGTGGTAGAAAAGAAAACATTCTCTGTTCCAGGGCAAAAAAGTATAATAGACCCTTTGTTCCTGATGGAAATAACCCATCTGCATCCCTGGGCATAAAGCTGTGACATTTCAGCCTAAGCTCTGAAGCATCAACTCAATGATTCTCAACTCTTGTGGGAGTGCAGATTTTTATCAATGCAAAAAAGTACAGTGTAACTGGATGCTATAAGAGTTTGGTTTCCACAGCGCGCCCGGGTGGCTCAGTTGATTAAGCATCTGCCTTTGGCTCAGGTCATGATCCTGGAGTCCCCGGATTGAACCTGGCTTTGGGCTCCCTGCTCAGTGCGAAGCCTGTTTCCCCCTCCCCCCACCCTGCGCCTCACCTCGTTCATGCTCTCTCTCTCTCAAATAAATATGTTTTTAAAAATCTTAAAAAAAAAAAAAGAGTTTGATTTCCAAACCTGGTTGATCATCAGAATTAACCAGAGACTATTGAAAAAAATAACTAGTGTCTTGGGCCTCCCCCCTCAGTGATTTCAGATCCGTGGTTTGGGGATCTGAATTTTTAAAAATATTCTCCAGGTGATGTGCTGCCACGCTTGGGATGAAAACCACAGACCTGGGCCAAGAAGACCAGGCGGCCTCGGAAGACCCCGCAGCTACATGACTTCGGGGAAGCACTAGCCTCCATCTCCTCCCACATCAAATGAGGTCAATAATGCTCTCTTTGCCTTCCTCACAGAAACCCAAAGACATGTCAAGACAATGGGTTGGAAATTATTTTGACAAGACCTTTACAAACAAACGTAAGGCAGTACTGTACCAGTGAACATATATATATCAAGGAGTCCTTTGATCATTTCAGTCTGAATTGGGTCTGGACATAATTCAAAAAACCAGTTCGTCCAGCTGTGTACGGTAGTCTGCCCCCTTTCTACATGGTTACCAGATTAACCCTCACATTCTTCCCTCCCCATCCTGTGTTTAGAAGATCTTAACTCTCTCACGATCTGAACACCTGGTCTTTGCTGCTGCCCCCCACGTCCCACACTTCCTTTATGCTCAGGCGTCATAAACCAGCGTCAGCAGCCCTTGGACTTCTCCATTTCATGTGAAGACACCCGGTTTTCCAAGCCTCCTCTTCTTAACCCTAACCTCTAAAAATACTGTTTTTCTTGTAGGATGCCCTGACACTGCTTAGGAACCTTATCACCCCCTTCTCTTGCTTTCTCTTCCGCCTGGAGAGTGTCCCCCTCCCCTCTTCACTCACTCTATTTTTCAGTCTTTTCTCAAATGTCACCTTCTGGGTGGGTGAGGTTCTCCCTGAATAATTTGGGATGTCACCCCTCCCCAATATTCTCGATTCTGCTTTATTTTCATCCAGCACACTGTTTTCTGCTGGTAGTGGGTTTGTTTTTTTTTTAAGGCAAATCCTAGTATATTATTAAATTCAAAAGGGATTTGTTGTTGGGTAATTATTTTCTTGGCAAATCAAACTTTTCATGTTGTTTATTGTCTCACCTCCCGTGTCTGTTTTGTACAGTGCCATATCCCTGATGTTTAGAACAGGGCCCGACACGTGCTAGGATCTCAAGCAGTACTAGCTCAATGAATACATGAGTCTGCTCAGATCTCTTCAGCTCCCCCTCGGCTTCTTGGCTTTGGCCTCTGGGGCAACCACACTGTGTACCACAATGTAGTATGGGGGCCACAAAGCAGTCCTGGGAGTCATAGACATCAAATTTTAAATTCTTGCTCTGCCACTTAGTAGCTGTGTGATCTTGGGCAACTCACCTAACCTCTCTGAGCCACATTCGCTAAACCTGGCAAATGGAGATAATCATATCTACTTTGCAAGGTTGATGTGAAGATCGGGACTATTTTATGTAGGGTACCTAGAGTCTAGTAGTGCTCATTAAATGGTAGCTAATAATTTCATGAATCACTGTGCTCACCTGACATCCCATATTTGCCATATGGAGTTCCAGCTATGTCCAAAGGAACACCGAAATAAGTTCCTCACATCTCCCTTAGGCTTTCGAGCTGGAGACACCCAATCCTACTCTCCAGCAAACCTTCACAGTACAGCCTGGCACTAGTCTTACCTTGGTGGCAATGGCAGAAACCGCGGCTGTTCTCTTTGCAGTTATGACATTTCCATCCATGACCTTGGAGGAAAAGAGAGATAGTGAGCAAGGGGCACTCCTACCACTACTGAAGTGTAATGTATACAGCCAGGTTCCCTGAGGAGCCTGAAATTCAGGGGAGGAGGATTTAAAGATCCAGAGGAGGTTTGGGTGGAATGAAGGAGATTGTCCCTGATAACAACTCAACTGCCTGGTCTCAGAGCCAGCTTGCAGGGTAGAGGGCACAGAGCACATGAGTAAAGAGTACAACTTCCATAGTTAGTCAGGTCTAGCAGTGGTTCCCTGGGCCTTTCACAAACCAGCTGTGTGACCTCAACAGAAATTGGGAGGGGGGTGTGTGTGAATTAAAACTCCCATAGAGGAATGCTGTCATCACTGAGATCAATTTCTCTTCCTTGGCACATGGTAAGTGCTCAGTAAGTGGCAGTTAGAAAGGTAGTAGACATGGTCTCCAGAGAGCATGGACTTAGGCTGAGTAGGTCTGAAATCCAGCTGTGCCACTTATTAGTTATGTAAACCTGGATAAGATGGGCATCGTTGCTCTATGACTCAGTTTCCTCATCTATAAAATGGGGGCAAATTCTACTACTTACCTGACAGAGTGGTTCTAAGTATTAGGAGAGTTAATACATGTCAAGTGCTCAGAACCACGCCTGACACATACAAAGTGCTCCCTAAATGGGCTCCTGCTCTATTCTGATACTGTCATTAAACGTTAAAACAGGTCACTGTGTATCTCTCAGGGAAGACTCCCAGGGATTACAGGACACTCCTTTTCTTCCACACTATAGAGGTTCACTAAATAAATGTTTCCTTGGCTACTGAGTTTGATCAAACTGTATATTGGAGTAACCAGTGCAGGACAAGAGCACCTACAAGAATGATGAGATTATTACTTCCACACTGTCTGTCACACACTTCGCCATTGCTGCTATCCAGAGACATCACATCACTCAGACAGAGGCGCAGTCCTAGAAACAGATACGTGGTCACAGATAACCTTCGCCATTGCTGGTATCCAGAGACATCACATCACTCAGACAGAGGCACATGCGGCCACAATCAAAACTCCACCCAGCTCTCTCAGAGAACTAACTTCTGAGGCTAGCTCTGGGCCCAGGGGCCCCATTTCACCCTAGGGCAGGGAGTTTGCTCACCGCCAGAAGGGAGCCATTGCTGGGCTCAAAGAGCAGCACAATGGCCTGGTGGGAGGGGACCGTGGAGGCGGTGCTGTGGCCCTCGTAGAAGGTGACCAACTTGGTGGTCAGGGCGTCCTCTGCAGCACTGTAGGCCGGCATGACCCCCAGGAAACTACAAGGAGAGAGGGAGTAGCTTCAACTCCTTCCTACCAATACTGGGGTGTCCTGTCAAGTCCCCATATACCTTCCTTTCTCTTTCCTCTGTCACTGCCCTACTGCCCTCCCTCCCCCCATTCCCCTGCCCTTCCTTTAGACAGTATGCAGAGTAGGTTCAAGAATCTGGCTCTGGATGAGAAAAACCATCCTAGTTCTGCCACTAACTAGCTATGTCACCTTGGGTAAGTCACTTAACCTCTCTGAGTCTCAATTGTCCCCATCAGTAAAACGACTGCATCAGAACCTACCTATTCTGGAGAATGTGTTGAATTAAACAAGATAAATCCCTGTAAAGCGTCCACTTGACGCAGTGGCTAGCGCAAATACTAGGTGGCAGCTGTAACCAACAATGATTAGGCAAGCCCTCTCTTCCTTTCTCCCGCCGCTTCCCTTCGCATGCCTCCCGTTCCATCTTTCCAGTTTCTCCAGCCCCTAGCCCCCGCCTTCCTCACTCACCCCCTGTGCTTGGCCACCGGCACCACGGTGCGCACCGGCTGCATGACCCCTCCGTCGGGGCCGCTGGAGAAGTTGGCCAGAGCCGCCTCCAGCGGCGGGATGAGGAGGCTGGAGCTGCGAAGGTGCTCCTGCACCTCGGCTGCGCTCAGGAACGCTGGCGCCCGGCTCATCTCGCCTCCGACCTTCTAATTTCAGCTAGGGCACAGCGCTCCGAGTTGCCGGGGCTGCGCCCTATATGAGCGCGCCGCGCCGCGGAGCCGCCTACTGGTCACCGCCCAGCTTCGGGGGCGGAGCAACGCTGGTCTCCGCCAACCGCGCCCCCCACCCCCGTCCCCCCAACCGGCCGCGGTAGGTAGAGCTGGGTCCCCCCTCCAGCTACGGATTCCCCAGAATCGCGGTGCAGGCGGTGGGTTGGGAGTTAGTATTCTTGGGTCCACTTTCACAATTCCTATAATTAGCTGTAGTCACGTTCCTTGCAAAGGGCTTAGGCGCCGCCACCCTCACTCTCCCCCCACCCCCAAGTCGTCCTCTTCGGGAAAGAGGAGGCGGAGGGCAAATGGTGGCGGGGGCTCGTTTTTTCTTAAATTATTACCTGCTGCTAGGAGATCTTAGATGAAAGGAGATAGTTATTTAAAAAATCATTTCGTTTCAGTTCTGTCCCTACCTGGAGTCCCTTATCCCAACCTCCCTCCTACTCCCACTCCCACCTCCAGATCCCAGACTATTGACTGCTTTAAGTGCACAATTTTCTTTGGGGCTAACTCAACTAACCTTCACCTTTTAAAAAGGGGGAAGTTCCCAGGACAAGATGTAATGGCCTCAGTCACACAAGGAGCCAAAATGCGTAAGAATGCATAAGACGACTTAGGTCTTTTCTTCGAGGAGCTTATTCTAGAGAGGAGGAAATAAGAGAGTATGTGCACAGGAAGGTAACCAACAATGCAGGGCAGTAAATTCTAGCTGTCAAATCAGTGATAGGAAAAATAAATGTGTTTGATAATTCAAAGAAAAGAGATCATTTTGACGTTGATTGCTTAGATGAAGGTTTTATGAAGGATGGGGAATAAATCAAGCCCCCAAATAAAATTAATGCTAACAGCAACAACAATGATAACAGGGACAGGTTATTGATCTTTATTATGTACCAGGTACTGCACCATGCATTTTATGTTCATCATCTCACTGAATTATACAACAACCTCTATGGTAGGCTGGTGTTTTTAGCTGTGCTGTCCATTTGAGGCTCTGAGAGGTGAAGGGCTTTGTCCAAGGTCACCCAGCATATCAGCAGAGGAGTTGGGATCTGCCCTTGTAGTCAGTCTCCAGAACTCTATTCCTATTGGTTAACACTACATTGGCAGAAAGAGAGGAAGAGGGCCCTTCAGGCCAGGTGAAGCCTATAGGTGGAAGGAATGTTGTCTAATCCTTGGGAACAGTGTCTTGCCAGACAGAGTTGGGTTGGAACAAGGGTGTGTGTGTTGGGGTGGGAGCTAATGTCTGGGAGCACCAGAAGATGAAACTGGGAATTCTTCTTGGAATCAGGAGGCTAAGAAATGTGATTCTTTGAAAAAAAAAAAATACACTTCAAAAATTTGACTGTTTAAAAAGATGATTCTTGCACCAATGTATAGGATGAAACAGATGAGCGTAGTCTGGGAGACAGATCAGGTTGGGAGCTGTGTAGGGCATTTTTTAGGAAATAGTCACATTGCAATAAAAGACAGTGCATGGGGAAGTGTCAAAATATTTACCAACGAAATAAATTGTATGTCATGTACTTAGCACAGGTCTTGGCACAATAAACTATATGTCATGTACTTAGCACAGGTCTGGGATTACAGAAACATTTATGGGCCATTATTTGTGTTGTTATTATTATGTCATATTTATTGGGTTTAAAAAATATAGAGGTATGGGATGCCTGGGTGGCTCAGTCTGTTAAGTGTCTGCCTTTGGCTCAGGTCATGATCTTGGGGCCCTGGGATCCAGCCCCGCATGGGGCTCCCTGCCCAGCGGGAAGCCTGCTTCTCCCTCTGCCTCTGCCCCTCCCCCTGCTTGTGCTCTCTCACTCTCTCAGATAAATAAAATCTTTTTAAAAAATATAGATGTATAAAGAAAGTAAGGAGTTTGGTCTGTTATTCTGCAGGGGAAAAGAAGGAAAACCAAACACTAACTAAAAGAGACATGAACTAGGAGAGCCAGATGTTTATTTGCTTCCATTGTTAATTAAATTCCTGAGCTTTGGTTGAGTAGAAAGATCCTGTATTTCTTTCTAGAAAATCCTGTAGGAATAAGACTAGTCTGCAAATCATCTCAAATCACCTTCCTTACAAAGCTTTGGGTATCATCACCCAGGTCCTAAGTAAAGTAGCACTGGGAAAATTGGTCATGATGGAATTAATTCTGTTGGGGCCAATGACACAGAGGAGTTACTGGTCCTGAAGCTCCAGAACCTCTTCTTTTTTTTTTTTTTAAGGAATTTATTTATTTATTTGAGAGAGTGAGAGAGAAATTGAGAGCACACGAGCAGGGGCAGAGGGAGAGGGAGAAGCAGACTCCCTGCTGAGCAGGGAGCCCACCATGGGGCTTGATCTCAGGACCCTGGGATCATGACCTGAGCCAAAGGCAGATGCTTAATTAACTGAGCCACCCAGGTGACCCAACTTCCTGTGATATTTATAGGTGTAAAAGAATTTCAAGTCCTCAAGTCCTATTAGAGCTATATTCCTCTTGTGCTTAAATTCTACTTGGTTGTGTGTCTTAATAAAGTAATTTAAATAACTATTCGTATCCCTTGTTTCACAAATTAAGTGATATTTGGCTATTTGTAACCCTTGAAAGTTTGGAGCTGGAAGAACTTTTGGAAAATATTTCCTGAGCCGAAGGCAGACACTTAACTGACTGAGCCACCCAGGCGCCCTTCCAGAACCTTTTCAAAATGAAAGTTATGCAATATCTCTGGCTGGGATCAGGAGTTGTATAACCTGACAGGTAGAAGGTAATTTTTAGGTGACCACATATACCAGAAGTCCAACTGCCAGGTTCTATAGAGGCTCTAATACCTCATGACATCTCTTTTATAATTTACTTAATATATTCTGTTAAAAATTATAATACCTTCTTTAGCTTTAGTAGAAGCAAAATTAAGATACAATTGGAGATTAATGTGCTGTTTTAATCATTTTTAATTTGCATTAAAATAAATGCATAACTATTTAAAAGACAGGGTTTGGGAATTACCTAAAATCATCTTCCTTACATGGCTTTGGGTAAGGTCACCCAGGTCCCTAGTAAAATTTTAGTTGCCAAACATGAAGTTCTGGTTTGACCACCTTTGGAAGAAGTCCTCCTAAAAGGGTGGGGCAGCCTTCTTCCTCCTCTGCAGATTGGTGGTAGGAGCAGTGGTTTTAGTGGGTTCTGAATTCCAGGTGACCAGCACAAGTCTGACGTCCAACTATAGAACATGATCCAGAATCTAGACTGGAAACTGGTTTTGCAGGTATGGACTGAAAGTAGACCATCCAGTTGTACAACAAACACCCCCCTGCCCCAGATGTTCTAGAGGGAGAGGGGGTCACTGAAGTCAGGGATGTCATATCACTTGGCTGAGGCTGTGGGGGGTATAGCATGCTTTTGGGTGACATAGAAATAAACACCCTTTTATGCCTACTTTAGAAAGAGCTTTCATCTGGAATGGTTAAGAGTTTTATATACATTTTGGGATTTATGAAAGTGATTGCAACTGACCCTTGAACAACAGGGGGGTTAGGAGCACTAACATCCCCTCAAAAATCCACACATATATTTTGACTCCCAAAAACTTAACTACTGTTGACCAAGAAGCCTTACCGATAACATAAGCATAACATAAACATACCAATGAACACGTAATTTGTATTTGGTATTATATACTGTATTCTTAAAATAAGCTAGAGAAAAGAAAATGTTATTAAGAAAATCATAAGGAAGAGAAAATACATTTACAATACTGTACTGCATTTGTAAAAAAATCTGAAGTGGACCTGCATACTTCAAAGTGTATTGCTCAAGCGCCAACTATATAATGTTTTCCTAGTTTAACTCATTGATGTAATGCATTGTGACAGATGTCCTCATATCCCATTTTGTTTCTAAAGTTTTAATTGGCATTCTAATGCCTTTCTTGATGAAATCCCCACCAAATCACTCACAGGTACAGGATTAGGAGCTTCTTGATTAGTGATTCCCAAGAAAGGGCTCTGAGATCAGCTAGTGTGGATTTGGATGCTGGTTTTACCACTTGTGCATTCCGGATGTACAAGAGACTTCACCACCTTGACCCTGTTTCTTTAACTGTAAAATCAGATAATATTAATAATATTAGAACCAACCTCCCAGAATTGTGATGAGGCATAAATGAAATCATTTTGTTGTGTTTAGCAGGTTGGTGTATTATTAACAAGTATTACATTAGTATTATTAGGTGTCATTGATGTTTTTTTACTTTATTATTATTAAAATGATGAAAGTACTCTTAGTAATAATGACTTATTAGAAAGAATATTAATAAACTTATTACTAATGTAGGGGCCGGTAAACAGGTCACAGGTGTAACTCTCCCTTCCCTGTCCTCCCCTGAGGCTTTGTCCTGGGACAAGGCAAGCCTGCTTCTGGAATTATGGAAGTTCCCTGCTATCCGCTCCAACCGCCTGCCCCCCAGCCCTGCCCCTTGTACTTCTCTAGATTTTCTGCCACTACCATACTGAAGGTGACAGCAGGGCAGAGTGGTCACTAGGATGAGGAAAACACAGTGGCTAAGGTACTCACTTCCAGCGCCAAATTAAGGGACATATTCAGAACTCAAAATACACAGAACTGAAGATTTTTTTAAAAACTGTTTTGAATGATGCAATATTGAAAAAAAAAACCACCACCAAAAAAAAATTCCATGATGAACAAAATATTAAAATTTTAAATAAAAACTGGGTCAGGATTCCTGATTTTTCCCTTTTGCTTTAGCCTCCCATGTAGCACCTCATGACATTTTTATATTTAATCTTTTTATTTGGAAATTAAAAATTAATTAAAATATTTATTTTGATACTGAGTTGGCGTCCCCTTAAATGTTGCAGCCAAGGTGAGCCTTTCACTCCCCTCCTAGTCTCTGTAGTTGGAGAGTTTCGGAACTGTGGGGTAGGCCAGGAGGAGGAAGCAGTGAAACAGTTGGGAAATCGGGGAAGTTGGACTGGCCACC